CCTATATACCAATATTTCCCCAAACAATTCCTTTAAACCAATATTTCCCTGAGCAGTTCCTTTAAACCGATATTTCCTGAACAGTCCCTTTAAACCAATATTTCCCTGAACAGTCCCTTTAAACCAATATTTCCCTGAACAGTCCCTTTAAACCAATATTTCCCTGAACAGTTCCTTAAAACCGATATTTCCCTGAACAGTCCCTTTAAACCGATATTTCCCTGAATAGTCCCTTTAAACCATGATTTTCATGAATAGTTCCTTGAAACCAATATTTCCCTGAATAGTCCCTTTAACCCAATATTTCCCTTATTATTCCCTTTAAACCAATATTTCCCTGAATAGTCCCTTTAAACCAATATATCCCTGAATAGTCCCTTTAAACCAATATTTCCCTGAATAGTCCCTTTAAACCAATATTTCCCTGAATAGTCCCTCTAAACCAATATTTTCCTGAATAGTCCCTTTAAACCAATATTTCGCTGAATAGTCCCTTTAAACCAATATTTCCCTGAATAGTCCCTTTAAACCAATATTTCTCTGAATAGTCCCTTTAAACTAATATTTCCCTGAATAGTCCCTTTAAACTAATATTTCCCTGAATTGTCCCTTTAAACTAATATTTTCCGAAATAGTCCCTTTTAACCAATATTTCCCTGAATAGTCCCTTTAACCCAATATTTCTCTGAATAGCCCCTTTAACCTAATATTTCCCTGAATAGCCCCTGTAACCCAATATTTCTCTGAATAGTCCCTTTAAACTAATAATGAAGTTTATTCTCCAGGGTATATTGAACCGAAAACAAGGACAGGAGATACAATAACATTAACAGAAAGATTAACAAGCAAACTGCTAACATATGAATAGACAGATAGTTAACCAGAAACAGGCAAACACAAAATTAGGCAAACTTTTGAATTAACAAACCAGCAGAAAAAAGACGAACAGAAAGCAAAATTTACAATTTACATTTAAGATGTTTACATGTAAGAAATGCCTACTCCATAAGAAATTTCTGGGAACGTATCTATCCAAGTACAACTCAGATTATATTGACTATCAATCCAGTCACCACACGAATACGATTTATCAACGCCACTGCCACTGGACGCGATCTTGTTAGCTATCGATATTAATTGGAAGCTCTTTACTATCGATCCCAAATTAAAAGGGAAGATCCTCAACCTGTTTATCAAAACAGGAAACTATTTATTTCTTGCAGTTAACAGTAAGAAGTTTCTATAGTAACTGTCTATATTTCTTCAGTTTAGATTAGAATTGGGTTCTTAACAACGTAATCACAAGTTATGCGCTGTTATATATATAACGTAGTTAAGGAATCACAATATGGGTAAGTCGGAGTTATATATATCTATAACTTCTTGAGAAATTTACAGACATTTACGGAAAAAAGAAAAATAGACAAACATTTAATAAGATATAAAGACAAACTTTACAGAAACAGAACCATCAGGAACAAACAAACAAAAACTAAGCAAGAGAAACAGACAAACAAACCAGTGAAAACACACAAACAAAAAGTAACCAAGAGTAACAGACAAACAAACCACTGGAAACAGGCAAACATGAACCAGGAGAAACAGACAAATAGGAACCTGGAGAAACAGAAAAGCATAAACCAGGAGAAACAACAGCCAACCATAAACCAAGAGAAACAGACAAGCATTAACCAGCAGAAACAGACAAGCATAAAACAGGAGAAACAGACAAGCATAAACCAAGAGAAACAAACAAGCATAAACCAGGAGAAACAGACAAGCTATAACTTAAAGAAACAGGAGAAACATACATAAAAAACTTACTGGGACCAGAGTAGAAGTTGAGCTACCCAGACTAAATTAAGCCAATTCTCTTCAGCTTTACGTCGGCAGTGCGGTGGTTGAACTGAAGTTATGCTGTTCAACTATTTGTCGCTTTTCATTAAATCTGACCCCTGGAGAAACAGACAAACAGACAGAAAAGAAATCTAAGTTTAGAAATCGAGAGGATGTTTTTCTTTTAAGATAGTTTTTTATGTATTCCATAAAATCCTTGCAAAACATTCTTAATGATATTTTTAAATTGCATAAAATCAGAAATACCATTACCAAACTTTTACTTTTTACCAAGAGCTACAAGAGTGCATCATAATAATTTTAATCGTTAATGGACTATATGAGACTCTCATCAAAGAGAGGCATGTTCGATTCACAATTGATAAAGAAAAAGGGATATCACTTTCATCCTTTATCAAACAAGGGGGTTATGTGAAAGAAATTAAATCTACAGTATTATTTATAACAATATTAGTAGACATTTTTTGACAATGCCCTTTCCCCCCCCCCCCTCTCAATCCAAGTTTTCCAGAACCCATAGTCCCCTAAGTTTCTGCAAATTAATATAATATCGTTGCTAAATGAAAATTGTAAAAGTTGAAGAAAGGATTATACAGAGAAAAGAGAGGAGTGTGTGAAAAGAAAAATAATAAAAACTGTAACTTTACAAAGTTTATGAAAAGAAAAGAATTAATATTCTAGCTGGGTACTTACAGGGCTGCCCACAATAAGTAAGAGTACAGAGTTCACGACTTTACAGATTGTATTCTCGGTTCAATACAGTTTTACACTTTTTCTTTATCCAAGAGCATAATTCACATCAGTTATTACAATTTAAAATTATCAGATCTTGAGGGACACGCTGTATAACTGTGTATTTAAAATATAACTGAATAGTTCATCTTTTCTGACATAGGTACAAGTGCAACTGCATACTTTGGTCAGTGTACTGCAAATTACTGCAGGACGCACCAAAAGTTTAGTAGAGGGTGGGCGTGAAGGATACATATATGAATATTTATAATAACATATATAAATATTTTTAATATTTACCGATGCTACCTAGGGTGCGGAGGATACATATATAAATATTTATAATATTTACCGATGCTTTCAGTTACCTAGAGCGCGGAGGATACATATATAAATATTTATAATATTTATTTACCTTATTTACCTTTACCTTTTTATATCTAAATATAGACAGTTCAACACAGACTCTTGTTATTCATGGATCGTATAAACCTGTATAGGTAGAGAGTATAGAGTTTGTAATAGATTGAAGCAGCATATTTAAGCTGATAAAGTATAAAGTTGAGTAAGGCATTTTACTTAAATATACATAGTAGTGAGTTCTGTCAAAGTTTCTCAAAGGGACCGCAGGCCTGATTTAAAGTAACCCTTTTTAGTTTAAGATGTCCCATTTACAATAGTACTCTTAAATGGTTTGTGTGGATAAGATATTCAAGTTTATAAATTTCAAATTTGATTTTTTCAAAAGTAGGTTCTCTATGTTCTCTATTAAAGTGATTAAAAATCAATTGCAATAATTAAAAATGTTAAAGTTAAAAAACGGCGATATATTCTATCTGTCTATATATCTATCTATTCTAAATGTGTTATTGTTTATGTCCAAACCTTATTACAAGTTCATCTCTGCAGCTAATATTCATTGATTAGATTAGGCAGAAGCCTAAACACAGGGGGGTAGAAAATAATAGCAGTAATAATAATGATAATAATATTAACAATAATAACAATAATAATAATAATAATAATAATAATAATAATAATTTTAATAATAACAATAATAACAATAATTTGGTTGAGTTGGTTAAGTTTGTTTATTTGCTCAAGTTGCTCGAGTTGGTCAAGTTGGTCAAGTTGGTCAAGTTGGTCAAGTTGGTCAAGTTGGTCAAGTTGGTCAAGTTGGTCAAGTTGGTCAAGTTGGTCAAGTTGGTCAAGTTGGTCAAGTTGGTCAAGTTGGTCAAGTTGGTCAAGTTGGTCAAGTTGCTTAAGTTTCTCGAGTTAGTATTCAATAGCTGCGCTCTAATCTCTGGCAGCTAACAATAAAAATAAATATCTTTAAAACAGAATTAAAACATTAAAAAAACAGTATAAAAACATTAAAAAACAGTTTAAATACAATATAAAAACAGTATAAAAACATTAAAAAAACAGTTTAAATACAATATAAAAACAGTATAAAAACATTAAAAAGCAGAATAAATACAGTATAAAAACAGTATTAATACAATATAAAAACAGTATTAATACAATATAAAAACAGTATTAATACAATATAAAAACAGTATTAATACAATATAAAAACAGTATTAATACAATATAAAAACAGTATGCAAATTGTAGAAAAACAAGGGAGAGCAAATTGATGGAATAATATAATTGCTTTTAGTTTCTACAGCCAAGTTCCTAGAAATAAAACTATTTGACAAGACAGACAATTATTATTTTTATAATGAATAGTAAATTAGCTTTCAAAATGTAAAATCTTAAATATAGGATCTCTATGTGTCTGTCTGTCTGTGTTCATTTGTTTGTTTGCATGTCCGATCAAAACCTAGAAACCCCTTGACCGATTTGCCTCAAATATTTGATTGGGGAGCTCGAAAGAACTGCAGGAATACTCTAAGATTTCTTTAAAAAATTGTTGAGATCTCCAGGCAAAGTAGGGTTTCCAAGCAACTAAATTGTTGAAATCTCCAGGCAAAGTAAGGTTTCCAAGGAACTAAATTGTCGAGATCTCCAGGCAAAGTAGGGTTTCCAAGGACCTAAATTGTTGAGATCTCCAGGCAAAGTAGGGTTTCCAAGGAACTAAATTGTTGAGATCTCCAGGCAAAGTAGGGTTTCCAAGGAACTAAATTGTTGAGATCTCCAGGCAAAGTAGGGTTTCCAAGGAACTAAATTTGAGATCTCCAGGCAAAGTAGGGTTTCCAAGGAACTAAATTGTTGAGATCTCCAGGCAAAGTAGGGTTTCCAAGCTAGTATAATGTAAGATGCAAGAATATCCTAAGTGTCGGAAAAGCGAGTAAAGTCGGCGGCACCTGAACGTGATGCGAGAATATATGTTGAGGTTAACCGTAGATGAGAGGTTAGAGGCCGGTCCCTTGTCCTCTCTGGTCCGCGGGATTTGGAGTCCCGAGGTGGTGGTGACCTGGTATCCCGGTATATTGGTACTCTAGTATCCCCCGGCCCCTGCAGTAGTAGCCGGGGGGTGCACCTTCCTATATACAACTTCAAACACAGGTAATTATTTAACTTGACATATTTTTAACATGGTCAGAAAATATTTCAATCTTTTTTTTTGTTAAATTTGATCATGATAATAATATTGTAGTCAGTCGATATTATATGATATTAAACGTTATTTGTGCGTGCAACACAAGTCTTTACATTAACAATTTTCAGAATAAAAAATATTTTTACTGTAAAATGGCAAATGCAAACGCCCTTATTTAGCTTGATTGCATTTGATACTAAAAATCGCATACTCAAGAAAGTAATGATGTTTTCTTGACAGAATAAATGAATAAAAAATATCTGAATAATAATAAAACTTTCATCTTGTTAAAGAACTATTAAAAAGAACATCAATGTTATAAATTTCTGAAGTTTAATTTGGAAAAAACGTGTTTTTTTCATACATGTATATAAAATCAAAACTAGAGGAGCCACGAGAACACACAACCATACCAGTAATGTCAGAAATATTTTACCATTTCTGTATAGTTTGCAGTGACTGCTGGCACAAGAGTGGGAATATTTATAAATAATTCCAAATGTACTTTATTTAGTTGTGCGATCGTTGTGGTTTTTTAGAGATTCTTTGAAGAACAATTTAAGTTTTCCAGCAAACTCTTTATAGGAGATTCCTTTGTGAATTCATGACGCTTTAAGTCTTTTTTTGACAGCATTTGTTTAAAAATATTTAAGGATATTTATTCCTTTTACTTTCTAGAAAATACTGTTATGTTACAGATATTTGCACTTTTAAAGATTCTCTATTGATTATTGTTAATCCTAGTTCATATAATCTTAGTTTACAAGAGTTCAGAAACTTTGATGTTTTCAAGTTTTTTTTTTTAAATCCTCTATCAATATCAAGAGAAAAGAAACAACTAGGGATCAAGACATGGAATTATCCTAGTAGTAATTAATATGTGTTGCAAATTCTAGAGTTTAAACCACTTTTTAGATAATTCAGAAAAATAAGTCTCAACTCTAGAACTTCATAAATTTATAGTTATTTACTTCAAACTATATCTTCTGCCAATTTTATCAAATATATCAAAGGTGGAAAATAACTAGATTTGCGTTTAGTTTAAACTCAGTAGATTTTACCTTTAACAAAACTCAATACAACCTAGAAATTATCTTAAAATTGGACAAATACGGGTTGAAACAAAATAAACAAAAAAAACTAAATGGTTGATTTCGGAACTAGTTTTAACTTTTACCAGTTCTTAACCCCTAGCAATATTACGTCCAAAATGGGGGGGGGGGGTTTAGATCAGCTCAAACTAAAAACATTTTGTAAAATATGATCTCCTCAAAAATATCTTATACGTCGATAAACTACATGATGATAAACCAGTTCATTTTTCTTTATTTTAGAATTCTGAGTTGCATCTGAACATATATATATAGATGGAGAAGGTGGAGGGGGGAGGTGGTGGTACAACCTAGGTAAAGGAGTTGAGTTTTTGCCAAAAACTCTGATTTTCTTACAACTATATCTTTGTAACACAATGTCGTATACCTTTGATATTTCAAACTATTGACACTTATAGATAAATTAATCTAAGCTTGAAATATCAAAAGTTTGCACCATCAGGTTGCAAAGATATTGGGATCTGAAGATTTGAGTTTTTGGCAAAAACTCAATTCCAAAGGAAATGAAAAATATCGTCAGCCCCTTTTCTTTAATCTAGACTTACTCTTTAAAAATTAAAAAAAATGAAATTGTAAACTAAGAACTGATGACAATTTAACAAATTTAATGTCATGTGATCCTACAATTTTAGAGGGTCATGCTCGACTCAAAATGGTGTCCTTTAAACCTTTATCTGATCAAAAATGTGAAACATAACAAACCTAACTTTTAAGCTTTTTCAAAAGATATGAAAATGTAAACTTTAAATGTTTTAGAATTTAGCAAATTTTTTCCCCCAACATTTAAAGGTTTACGGGATAGTTGTTGTAATCTCAAGTGATCCTTCGATTAAAGAGGGTCAAGCTTGATTCACAACAGCACTTTTCAAAACGATAAATGTATTGATGTATTCTTAAGGTTAAAGAGTTTTATTCAGACAATTGTCTCCCTTGTTTCTGTAGTAGAATGCGCCAATCACATAAGTTGTGAAAAGTCAATTGAAAAAAAATCTGTAAGGAGATAAACATTGATATTTCATTCACTATTGATTTGTGAGGGTTGTGAATTGGAGATGCCACGCTCTAAATGGAGAGTCACTTGTTACGTCTATATCCATTTAATATATTTATAATGCAGGGGTTGTATCGGGGTTAGGCTTAGAGCTAGGTTTCGGGGCTCGGAGCAAAGTCTGCAGGTCTCGTGGTATTGGGTTAAGATGGCGGAAAAATACGCGGGAAAACTTCATATTCTTAAGGAACATTTTCAACCTTCATTCAAATCTGGAAAAATTTCGACTTTTGAAGATTATAAATCCTTCCTTTATTGTTTTGAAAGCTGAGTTTAACACTCAGGAATGCAAAGTTATAGCTTAAATTAAACCGTAACTCTAGCTATAGCTTAAATATTCAATTCATCGAAATCGACGAGGTAATTATTTAAACCATTAAAATCCTCACAGAGTTCATATTCCGTAAACTAGTATAAATGTTTCTCTGTAAAAAATGTTGTAAGTGGCATTTGCGAAGACATATAGCCCAAAAAGTATTAGATCTAAACATTGAATTCATTATTTACAGAACTTTTAAGATACAGGTTTACCCACAAAGGATGAGACTTCAAAGACTATTTTAAAGAATTTGTTTTGGTCCGTTTGCTTGCATTCAGGGTTTCTTGTATGGCCATCAACGTACTAAATTGATTACAGAAACCCAAAATCAAGCGTCAAATGGTCAAATCTTTAAAGTTTTGGATCGTCTTTATACAGCCTCATCCTTTGTGGGTAACCCTGTATATATAGCGCATTCTTTAGTTTTGAAACCTAATGAAAACTAATGAAAATGGAATAAAAAGGAGGAGGCGAAGGAGAAATGGGGAGAGTTGAAAGATCAAGGGTTAAAAAGTACTGTGGAAGAAAACGTGAACGTAAGTTAAAATAATTCAAATAAAAAGTATGAAAGATATTTTTTTTTAAATTGAGGTAAACGCCTGTTACCGACACCATCTTCAAAATATCACAAAAAAATCAAAACTAATTTTTGAAATTTCTATTTTTACAATAACATGAAAATAGTATTATTCATATGTACAAAATAATAATCTCCGTTTGTTTTCTTGTTTGTATGTCCATTCATAACTCAAGAACATCTTCACCGATTTGCCTCAAATTTTGATTGATTAACTTCAACTTGGTAGACCACGAGTATGTTTTAGCTTGGTATACCAATTTTAAGAAGAGTGGGTTGACTTTTACAGGAAATTCCAGTCCAAGCTGGGTTCAACAAGCTATAGTAATAAATCCCACTGTTTAGGTTTTGAAAAGTAAGTTTATAAGATCTGTGAATGCCGGGGAGGATTATGAACATCATTATAAAAGCAAATCCAGGTAAACAAATTATTTATCTCAAGATTATCAAGAATAGATATAATCTTAATATTTTCCTCACCTTCAGTCAAAGGTTGCAATCTCTCACGCAAAAATCTGATTAAAATTTATCAAATTACTTCCTAACAACAAGTGCTTAGCAGTTCTAAAATGTACATAACTAGTGCTACAAAAAGAATCAGTGACATATTAAGGTAAATTCGAAGGCCAATGCATTGTGATACTTTAAAGTATACCCAGTCTTGAAATTTGTTCCACTTTGTGTCCTATTGGCTATTTAAAACATTTTTTGTTGGCATAACTAAAAATATTCGGGCATGTTATCACCGATGATGATAATATCACCATAAAAAAATGCCTATTTGTATGTTTACGTATCAAAATGATAAATACTTTTATCGAAGTTTTACGAGATTCTATCATAATTTTTTGAAATATTATCAAAGTTTTATGCGATCCTATCAAAATTAACATTATTTATCTAAATTTAGAGTTTTTGATTGACAGTCTTCGGTCCGGTGCTTGCATGGGGCGGACTCGATACAATGTTTGAAATAAAAAGCGATGTTATGAAATTTTCCGATAATTATTGATGTATTTTGATTTGAAAACACATTACAAATTATCTATGTCTCCTGCAGTAAATATTAATTGTTTGATGATATGAAATTTAAAATTTAAAATACATTTAAGAACTTATTGCGTATTAATATATATCAACTAATAATTTTAATGTTTTAACATGGCTTTTTATGTCTAACATTGTGTTAAAATGATTAAAACTTTAGGGGTCGAGTCCGCCCCATGCAAGAGTCCGCTCCATGCAGGACATCGGCCATTGTGAAAAACACTTGGCTCTGCCATGTTCAATCTTGATTTTTGCATAGTCAATTTTGCTCTAAATTTTAGTTTTGCCCTTCAATCTTAGAAAATACTTTTACTTCAATACTTCAAAATAATAAAACCCAAATCAGGGAGATGAACCATTTACATGTATTTGAAATTTCATGTTTGGCAACTGTCAAATGATAAGTTCCACAAAATAGTAGCATGGATCAAATTTGCATGCAAGTAACAATTAGTAAAAACGCAACATTTCATCCGAGATCTACTTAACTATTTAATTTAAGTTTTTATTGTTAACAACATTTTTTCGAATTACAAGTTCAAAAGTGATTAAAGAAAAGCTTTTTTAAGCTTCTCTTTGTTTCCATTTTTTTGTATTTATGCTGTTTAATAGCTTAATTAAAATCAAAATTGAAATCGAAAGTCGTCTTCATTGTATTGATATAATCGCCTACCACCGTATATACTTTGCTCTTCTGTCTGTCTGTCCGTTTGTGTCCAGTAAACTTCAAAAAGTCTGAACCGATCGGCCCCAATTTTTGTGTGAGACCTCACATGACCCCATGACAGATTTAACAATGCTCAAAATTACAAAAATGTGTGTTCAAAAGTTTAATGATTATTTTATTTTAAAAATGTGCGAAAAAAATATTTAATTCGCTAACTTTTTTTATTTTTTTTTTGTACAATTAGTTAAGATGCTCACAGATTAATCCACAATCAAAAGTTTGAATTGAAGATGGGCGCAAAGCGCTCTAAAGAGCCTGGTAAAGACATAACAGAGAAACGATATACAGATCCTGGCTGAAAACCCCAAATGCAGGGCGAATAGCATGAGGAGGCCTAAAGCAATTTCTTACCCTTATGATTTGATTTGATTCGGTTATAGGAATAGGTCCAAAATCACTTCTTAAATTTGCCTCCAAGAATCTTGACAACATTTTTTCACTACCCCTCCCCCTCAACCCCTCCTGCACCATTATACACGTTTGCGTCTTTATTTGAAAGGTATTTTATCTTATTTCCCCTTCCTAAATTTATTGGTCTCCTGTAAGTGTATTAGTTACATTTAAACAATTGGTTTCATTCCACACATTGTACCTTAGCAAAATAATGAAAAAGCCCTCACTAAAAAGTAAACCTTCCTTTTTTAAATAGAAATATATATAGAAATAGAATACAGCATACCAAAGCAATTGGAACCTGAAAAATTTCGAACATAAGCAAGTTTTAGCTGGTGCATGGCCGGTTTTAAACACCTTAACAATAAATATTTTAATAGCTCACAAAAACTTTTTTGTTTCAGGCCAATTTAAAGTAAAATTTGAGTTTTAAAAAATTCAAAAGTTCAAAATTTTAAAACTTTTTTTTCTTTTTTCTCTTATATTTGTGTTCGTGCAGAGTTTTGACATTTGAAATAAAATGTTCAACCTTTCTGGAAATTCACTTTTGGATCACAAGTTTGATTTATTTTACAAATACCAAGGTTAAAGGAACTGTCGACGTTATTTCTCAATGGAGATATACAATGTTGATTTTTATATCTGAAAATTATAAATATCTGAAATTGCCTTAACCTAACCTCACCCAGAAATAATACATAACATATTTTTTCCATTTGACCCATTGTCATTTTAACCTTTGTCACGTTTTTGACTCTATGTCGGTTGATCCAAGGTCGTTTGACCCTGGGTCGTTTGACTCTCAGTCGTTTGACCCTATGTTGGTGAACCCCATCTTTCTATCTGTTTCACTCATGATCAATAATCCCGGGTTTCTAAAGTTTAACAAAGTTTAAACATTTTTATTTTACGCACCAACTTTGTGATAAAAATAAACTATTTAAATATGGAAATTTGTTTTAGGATTTGGAATTTCACTTATTTCAGTTAATAATTGAAAATAGCTGGGCCAGGATAAGATTTAACAGGAATTTCTCTCTTAAGCTTTATTAAGCAAACAACCATTCAATGGAAATCTCATAAAATGTAAGTTCCTACAAACTATCAACAAATTTGTTGAAAAGAAAAATATTCAAAAAAATATATTTTTGCTGATGAAATATTAAAGGGACCGCAACCAAAGTTTCAAGCAAAGATAGCAATGTTCGACTTACAACGGTACCTCTGAAGCCCGAATCTGATCAAAATGTGGAAAATAATGTTGTTTTTATTACTTGAAAAGTGATAATTTCGGAGAATTTCTCCACATCTTCGTATTAAGGAAGAAATTCCCAAGTTACTTATGCAGTGAAACCACGAACGAAAATTAACAGTTTAAATAAAAAAAACGTGAATATCTAATTCATACTTGATCAGGCAAAGCTTTGAAAAGTATCCTAAACTTGGTTACAAAAAAGCAATTAATAATTACTGCAAAAAACTCGAATCTATTGGTGAGATTTTTTCATCAAAGATTGAGAACGGAGTAGCTTTGAAGCGCCGCCAAGCCAGTGCCAACCACCTATTAAGGATTATGGCTAAATTTTAATCGATGTTTGCGTTAGAATTTGTTAACTTTTGTTCTCAGTGCAGTACACATTTCAGGCTCACTTTTACAAAATGGTTTCTTAATTAAACGCTTTTATCTTTAGGTTACAGCTGATAAAGATCTCTGCAGCTGTTATGGGAATTGAGTTTTCCTACGCAGCAGAAACAGCATTCGTATCTCCAACTCTACTTAAGATAGGTAATACTTAGTTTGTTTCGATCTTGTCTTGATCTTGTCTTGATCTCGTCTTGATCTCGTCTTGATCTCGTCTTGATCTTGTCTTGATCTTGTCATGATCTTGTCTTGATCTTGTCTTGATCTTGTTTTGATCTTGTTTTGATCTTGTCTAGATCTTGTCTTGATCTTGTCTTGATCATTGTATTGATCTTGTCTTGATCTTGTCTTGATCTTGTCTTGATCTTGTCTTGATCTTGTCTTGATCTTTTCTTGATCTTGTTTTGATATTGTTTTGATATTGTCTTGATCTTGTTTTGATCTTGTCTAGATCTTGTCTTCATCTTGTTTGATCTTGTTTTGATCTTGTCTTAATCTTGTCTTGATCTTGTCTTGATCTTGTTTGATCTTGTCTTGATCTTGTCTTAATCTTGTCTTGATCTTGTCGTGGTCTTGTCTTGATCTTGTCTTGATCTTGTCTTGATCTTGTTTTGATATTGTCTTAATATTGTCTTGATCTTGTTTGATCTTGCCTTGATCTTGTTTTGATCTTGTCTTGATCTTGTCTTGATCTTGTTTTGATATTGTCTTAATATTGTCTTGATCTTGTTTGATCTTGCCTTGATCTTGTTTTGATCTTGTCTTGATCTTGTCTTGATCTTGTTTTGATATTGTCTTAATATTGTCTTGATCTTGTTTGATCTTGCCTTGATCTTGTTTTGATCTTGTCTTGATCTTTTCTTGATCTTGTTTTGATATTGTCTTAATATTGTCTTGATCTTGTTTGATCTTTTCTTGATCTTGTCTTGATCTTGTCTTGATCTAGTCTTAATCTTGTTTTGATATTGTCTTGATCTTGTTTGATCTTGTCTTGATCTTGTTTGATCTTGTCTTGATCTTGTCTTGATCTTTTTTTGATATTGTCTTAATATTGTCTTGATCTTGTTTGATCTTGCCTTGATCTTGTTTTGATCTTGTCTTGATCTTTTCTTGATCTTGTTTTGATATTGTCTTAATATTGTCTTGATCTTGTTTGATCTTTTCTTGATCTTGTTTGATCTTGTCTTGATCTTGTTTTGATCTTGTCAGGTGAGGGAGAAGTCCTCACTTACAATTACATAATTATAAACATTGTACATTTGATTCTAGCTGTACATAAATATAAACATGTAATTAACTTCAGGTGTAGCGCAGAGGTACATGACCTTGATCTGGTGTTTATCTCCTCTTGTTGGATTCTTTCTTACTCCAATCCTTGGCAGTTTATCAGATAGGTATGTACTATGTACATTTTGTACAATGCTTTTTATAAATATTTGTATATTTGAACAAATGCGTGGATAGTTTGTTTTAACTTTGTTGAAAACTATAAAATTTAGTAAACCAATATCTCTGTCAATACAAAGACGAAAGACCACATTTTGGAATGCTCGGAAGCTGTACATTGTGATTTTCACAGTAATGGAACATTACTTGACTTTTAATTTTATAATTGCATTCTGATGGTTAAACCTTTATCTAGAACATCAGGAACGTACTTTACTAAATAGGAAAGAGGTCGCTTAAGTACCTACCGCTGGTTCAAATCCTGAACCACCTTATGAAAGTTAAAGATTTATGAGTATTTGAATCGGTGATCCATGATTTGAACCGATGGTACAGGGTTACCCACAAAGGATGAGACTGTAAAGACGACCTAAAACTGATAAAATATGACAATATCTTGGTTGAAAGAAAGCTTTTGCCTTAGATATTGTATTTTAAATACTTAATTAATTATTGGGCAAAGAAACAAACAAGTTTACAGTAACACGGAATCATAAATAGGAGGAAACAAACCGTTCAAATTCCGTACAGTCGTCACTGAAGTCTCATCCTTTGTGGGACACCCTGTAGGTAGTTTAGCTACAGGGTGTCCAACAAAACATGACAGTTGTAGAATAGTTTTCTTCCAAATACTGTTTTAGACTTTTTGCAGTTTATTTCGTTACAAAATCTTAAACTCAAATCAAATGAATTCTGCAATTCTACCATAATAAAACCGCGATAAAATATTTCTTATTGTTTTCTTTGGTGACAACTTAGTAAATTTTGGGAAGCGTACATTTTAAACTATGCACCAACTGTTATGTTTCGTGGGACACCCTGTACCTATCCAATTTATTTAATATGGCCCAAAAAGTAAGTATTCAAAAAATATTATTTGAATAAATCTTGTTTTAGATGTAGATCCCCTCTGGGTAGAAGGCGTCCTTTCATCATTCTTCTATCCATTGGAGTTGTTTTTGGTTTGTCATCACAGCTTTTAAAATAAATTTTCTAAACTTCTTAACATCAAAATTTAAAAAAGACAAAAAAAAAAATAATTTCGGAGTAGAGTTTGAATTCTCTCCTCCTCAGCATGTCCGAATCACAGCAGTACCTTAAAACCTTTATCTGATTTAAGATGTGGAACGTATTTTAAGTTTATCTGGCGGAAAAACTGTTTACGATGTGGAACATATCGTCTGTTTTGCTAGCTGAAAAACTGTTTACGATGTGGAACATATCGTCTGTTTAGCTAGCGGAAAACTGTTTACGATGTGGAACATATCGTCTGTTTAGCATAGCGGAAAAACTATTTACGATGTGGAACATATCGTCTGTTTATCTAGCGGAAAAACTGTTTACGATGTGGAACACATCGTCTGTTTTGCTAACGGAAAAACTGTTTACGATGTTGAACATATCGTCTGTTTAGCGAGCGGAAAAACTGTTTACGATGTGGAACATATTATCTGTTTTGCTGGCGGAAAAACTGTTTACGATGTCGACCATATCGTCTGTTTTGCTAGCGGAAAAAACTGTTTTATATGTGGAACATATCGTCTGTTTAGCTAACGGAAAACTGTTTAACATGTGGAACATATCGTCTGTTTTGCTAGCGGAAAAACTGTTTACGATATGGAACATATCGTCTGCAGTTTTGCTAGCGGAAAAACTGTTTACAATGTGGAACATATCGACTGTTTTGCAAGCGGAAAAACTGTTTAAGTCTGGAAATTTCTTTCCTTTGTAACTGCAGAGAAATGATTAAGCAGCTTTTGTAGAGAAACCACAGTTGAAAATAACAAACTTTTAAAGAGTAAAACATGGATTTCCATTCTTCATCAGGGTAACAAATTGTGAATCGGACAATTAGCTTTTTATTTGGATTTAAAATAGATTAAAAGGACTCCACTAACTTCTTAAAGATAAATAATAAAATAATAAAAGGATTTAAAGTGGATCATAAAGGACTCCACAAGCTCCTTGAAGATAAATAATAAAATAAAAAATGAAATATTCAATATTCAGCGCCAAAAAATAATTAAACTGACATGACTTTACAACAGAGATTTCAATCCCAACATTATTAATAATCACGCCGCTATGAAAATTACCCCCCCCCTTTTGAAAAAAAGCCCTGGTTGCGTCTTTGCACATAAATATTTATTTTGTGTTCAGGGCTAATCCTTGTTCCTAATGGTGCCTACCTGGGCCGTCTATTTGGAGACAAGTATCCCAGTGATATCAACGAGGATATGTAAGTTTTGTATTATTTTTTACAGTTTCTAGGAACATCCAAAAAAAAATGCCAAAAATAATGTTTTTTTCACATTTCAAGTGTTAAGTAGTTTTTGGTTTATTTTTCTCAATTTAAGGCATTGTACCATAATATCTTTAGACTAAATCACAACAGAATTAATCATGGCCTTAAAAATAAGAATTTGGAGAAAAAATTTTAAGTTAACTTTTAATGAAAACAATAAAAAATGTGTTAAATCTTCATTTGATAACACTTTTAGATCAATTGGACGAACTTTACATCTCAATGATTATGATGGAGAGAATATAGTGGAAGGTGGTGGGGGAGGATATCCACTAAATTCAACAGAATTTTACCCAATCAGGTACTTCACGCTGTACAGTATTAAAAGAATTGTATATAGACAGTGTACTTCACTCTTAACACTATACAAATATTTGCATGTAAAGATCCTAAAGTGAACAAAAACTTCTATAAAAACACTTTACTTAGCCCTAAACATTACATATGTATAAAGTTTATTTTACCCAGTATATCCCAGGAAACATTTTACCGACTTTATGTGCCGATGGTGATGTTGGTTGGTAATATATATGGACTTTATATGTTCGTCATCGGTTTGTCGAAGACTGAATGTTTGCAGGGTAGTACATATAGTACACACTACAGTAGTACGATGTACGCTAAACACAGACGCATAATTTCATAAAATTAAGCTTTGACCTCTTTAAAATAAATTTCAAGTGATAACTCTAAATCTAAATCAGACAGATCTTGATCACAAGCGTTAAAAGGCAGTACCGAATTGTAATCGGACATGCCACTCTTGGAAAGAACGGTCGATACAAAAGCCGATTAAAGTATTTACTATCATCTTACAGTCCCTTTAAAAAATACAGCTAAAAATAACTGGAAATATTTTTAGATTAATCCAATGAATAGATGAAAAAGAATGCATAATAGTGTATATTTGGTATAAATAAACACCCCAGTATTGGGAGACTGTAATGGGGGAACCATGTCTTTAGGTCGTTTTCAGAATAAACTTAAATTTAAACAAAAATACAAAGAATGGTAAATCTTCCAGATTCATACTTTAAAATTAGATTTCGAAAACATTGTTTATATAATATAGTAAGAACCAGAAAACTATGGACAAGGAAGACGACTTTTAGACTCAAGTTACCTAGGCAACACTTAAACCGACTATAAGTGCCGATGGCGAAGATGTCGGGTAAATAATTCAGGGCTTTTGATGTTCGACATCGGCATGACTAAATGTTTGCAGAATATGACTTTGAATTGTACAATGAATATGATGCACAGCAATTGTGCAGTGTAAACAGACCCATTTCCCTTAGATTTGATAAGTTACAAGTAAAACTAATTGTTTTGTAGCAACATCAAATAAACTTATATATTAATTTAATGTCGTCTTTCTATTCATCAGTTTTTTGGTTCTCGCTGTAACAAGTAATTTTACCAATAGCTTCAAAATCAGCTCATTCATGAGTCTGCGTACATTGCACAATAGCATTGATTTATATAACTTGAGTCTAAATACTTATTTTCTATTCCTCATATCTTTGCAATCTTTAATGTTTCAAACTTTGATTTTTGCTAGATCTTGATTTTTGATAGTCGAAGTTTAAAATATGAAAAGTTTAAAGCTTCAAGTAGCAAAGATTTATTAAGATTAAAGTTTTAGGCAAGTTTTCAGATCCTTGTTTAGTTTGACCAATTGTTGTTTATTATTTATAGTGATGAACCTCCTCCTCGCCAATCTCATCCCTGGGGCATTTTCTTCACAATAGTTGGAACTGTTCTCCTGGACTTCGATGCTGATGCTTGTCAGAGCCCTTCAAGAGCATATCTACTTGATGTCACACTTCCAGGTAAACCTTCAAGACCATATCTACTTGATGTAACTTAAAGTTTAACAAAAATTTTAAAGGTTTATGCTGTGGTATACAAAGGTTAAGTTCGATTGTATACTAAATTTTATTTTGTAATGTCTTAAATAGTTATTTTCTTTCATGATTTAAACTAAACCACCGGTCACCGACAGCACAGCAGTGTAGGCTAGGTTTGAAACTATATTCCCCCCTTTATATTGTAATCAAGCGTATCTATTAATTATCTACTGAGTATTTAAACTTTGTCGACAACTGCTCTATTCAACTCAACAGTTGAAAACCCCACTTGAAACCACGTGCTTCAAACCAAACCAAACTTATTCAAGTGTACACTGTACACACACCAAACAATAGTTTAGATCAGTTTACAATAGAGCGAAGATGGATGGAAAGTTGATGGTTTCAAATATTGAAAATGTAAACATAAATCTAGCATTCTGTCATCCAACCAAATTTTTAAATAGGAAATAAATAGAAAATTGACAAAACGCTTGTTTAAAGAAATCCATCATGTTTGACAGAAAACAAAATATTTTTAGATGGAATATGAAATATCTTTTGTTATACTTCCACCCTTAAAGAATAGATTTCAGAAATATGGAAATGAAAAAATTCCAGCAAACTTTTATCTTAAGTCTTAACTAATAAACTTCCTTTTTTGATTCTCAACATATTGAACTATTTTGAATACCTCCCGCCATGTATATATGATGTACGAAGCCTTTCAAGCATAAACAACGTTTTGTAATATTGAAATTATCTAACATTAACAATTTGAGATTGGAAGGCTGGTAGCTTAATTATATTCACTTGCCGCTTTTAAGGATTATTGAAGCCATTTCAGTGCAGTGGTTCGCAGCTAGATTTTCTGAATTTATTCAATATTCTGCTTGGTTTGCATTTTATAAGCTTAAATTCTTGTACCGTATATATGATATATAGTATATACATAACAGAAGTATTCTTGCCGGTGCCCAGTTTTAACCGTTCCTCGTACTCTTCAATTTTTATTTTGTGCGGTTGCTAAGGCCCTTCAATCTTAATTTTGTCTGGGTATTTCTGCCCTTCAGTCTTTATTGTGTGTGGTTGCTTGTGCCCTTCAATCTTAATTTTGTCTGTGTATTTGTGCCCTTCAATCTTAATTTTGTGTCATTGCTGGTGCTTGTATACCAGTATGGTAACAATCACACAAACTAACACACACTAACACAAGTTGACGATAAAAAAAAATATATTTTTAGCGGACCACGCGGTTGGCCTTTCTACCTTTACAATAATGGCTGGCCTAGGTGGTTCCATGGGATACGCAATGGGTGCAATAGACTGGGGATGGTTAGGTGATTATCTTTTAGAATTGTTACATAGAAACCTTAGACTTACACAGACTGCTCATACGCCATGCTACTTTTACACGAAAGTTTTTTGACTACCATCTAACGGCCACTTTTCGCATATAATACCCATTCAGGGGTTTTACAATTTTAAAGAAATACTCTAATTTTTAATATGAAAATTTATTAATTTAATCTCTTTTGAAGATTTTGTATTTCGTATCCAAAGTATCCTTAAAATCCCTGAATACAGATATCTTTAGATTGGTCATGTACTCCAGTTGTTTGCATAATAGAATCTGCTGTGGAAAATATCGCAATTTTTGGCGTATGAGCAGTCTGTGTTAGTCTGTGATATTAGAAATTAAACAGAATAATAAGTAGAATATTTTAATCCAATCCACGGTATAGGTACTTTGCTGGGAGGACATGTTCGAGCAGTGTTCACCCTGGTTCTTATAATCTTTATCTTCTGCGTCTCCATTACTCTAACTTCATTTAATGAGATTCCATTGGATGTTCTCACCACTCCAGCTCTGAGGGTAAATATCATATTGAAAAACAAAAAAAAACAGTATGACCTCCGACATTTAATTTAAATTTATTATTTTATGAATTTTTTTAAGTTGGGTATACAGTAATTATTTTCGTCATCAGTTCACTTCTTTTTTCTTTTTCTTCTGTTGACTGTCGCTGATTCTGATAATTTTATTAAAAAAATGTTTTTTGTCGAAACTAGTAATTTTTGTAAACTCACTTTGCTCCATTGTTGGATTGGAAATCCGACATTTCATTAATAATTGTTTAATCTTGCTTAGAGACAATCAGTGGTGAAGAAAAGTGGAACTTATGATAAGCTTCCAGGTACAAAATATTACGTTATATAAAGTAGTAATCTTTAATTGTCTGTATGTTTGTATGTCTCTGATCATAACAGATAAACCCTCGACCAATTTTCCACAATTACTTGACTTAGGAACTCGGTAGAACCACGGAAATTTTATTTCCTTGATTTAAAGATTCTACGATGAGAGGACTGACTTTTAAATGGAAAGTTTAGTTTTCATGAAAACCTGCAGGTTCCCAACCTAGTTTATAGATAGATAGAACTATGTCTTGGTAAAAAAGAAAATGTTTTAGAATTAGAAATTGCAATGTTAACAGGGTGTCCTGCAATATTGGAATCAACAATAATCAATCAAGGCCTACACGTTTGACTTCTAAGCTGTCAGAAATGTGGTGATATCTACCATCTTAAACCTTGTGAAATAAAAATAAATTGAAAATTTCGGCATAAATCTGAACATTTCAACTATTTTTAAGATACAAAACGTAAATCGTAAATTGCTTAAATCAAACAATTAAAAAGTCTTCATTAATTCCTATTTATGGGACACCCTGTAGTGACATTTCATTCTAAATTCTACTGGAACTGAACATATACTCACCATAGCTCAGATTTTTTAATCTCTATATTTTGGAAATCTGATGGAATAAACCTTTGATATTTCAAACTATTGGACCTAACAGAACCTATGATAATAGGTGAGGATAGTATGGAGAAAGGAGAGAGGGAGAAGGAAGGGAATGGATATGGTAGCATTAAACCAACTATCACAATCAGAACAGACGAACTTTCCACCAACCCTTTCAAGAAATCTGTAAGTTTAGAAAATCTATATTTTGTCCGAGTAAAATTTTACAATATTTTTCATTCAGGGATTTGAACCTGAACAAGAAAGAGAATATCTACAGGTGAATTATTTAAATAGTTTTATTAAATAAAAGTTTATCTAAAACGAATTAATTTCAGGTGTCCGAGACATCATTCAGTCAAGCGGTGAGATTTTTTAATACTCTTATAAAATTAAAGTTCTTTAATAGAAATCCTTATAAACCCTCTTATACAAAATTAAATATAGTAAAAATTTAAACATTTTACAAAGAGTTTTTTTATCAACTTTTATTACAGAAACTGAGCTTTGCATCTCAACATCTTTGCAACATTTTATATTTCAAATATTAATTTTTCAATCTAACAGAACTATCAAATATTAAACCTCTACTATATTGTGACAAAAACTCAATTCCTTTTACTTGGCAGAGTCCGGTCCCAGTTGAGAATTGGGCGGAAGGAGATACAGCAGCAACGGTTGCAAGTCTCAAACAATATCTTTGGTCCATCATCTACATGCCATCCAGTCTCAGGTACTTAAAGAGAATATCGACGCAATTTTAACTTTTAAGTGACGATCACCCTAGAAATAGTCGCGTTCGATTCACAACCTTTTAAATCGTTGTTCTAGCAAAAACGATATCCAAGCATCCTTTTTTTCTAACTGAAAATTAATAACATTTTGTTTTAAGATTTAGCTGAACTCAAATCTTTTAAGATTTACTTGAACTCAAATCTTTTAAGATTTACCAGAACTCTAATCTTTTAAGATTTACCTGAACTCAAATCTTTTAAGATTTACCTGAACTCAAATCTTTTAAGATTTACCTGAACTCAAATCTTTTAAGATTTACCTGAACTCAAATCTTTTAAGATTTACCTGAACTCAAATCTTTTAAGATTTACCAGAACTCTAATCTTTTTTGTAAGAGATAACTGAACTCAAATATTTTAAGATTTACTTGAAATCAAATCGTCAGTATCTTTTTAACAATGCTCAAAGAGGACTATAGAGCAGAGCTTTTTTAATCCGTTCCTTGAATATTTAAGTCTGTTATCCTTTAATAATGCACAATAAGCTATATGAAACTTTTAAGGTTTTTGAACTTTAAAAACTGCATTCTGTAAAAGTTTGCTTTGATTGAAACATTCAAAGATTAGAAAAATATATTAATTGAACCCTTGTTATTATCTGCAAGGTGGTTATGTTTAACCAACCTGTTCTGCTGGAGTTCACTAGTCTGCTATTCTCTATATTTTACTGATTTTGTGGGACAAGCAGTTTTCGGAGGAGATCCACAGGTTAATATTTTATATTATACAGGGTGTCCCACTTTACATGGCATTAACACTCAAGAAATTTAGTCACAAACTTTGTTTTTCTTATCCCTATTTCTTTGCAACCCACTGTTGTTGACCTAAGATATTTTGAACCAAGAATTCTGTTAGATCAAACAATCAAATTTTGAAATATCAAAAGTTTAAACCATCAGGTTACAAAAATAAAGGGCTTAGAAAATGTAACCTTATAGGGAGATATCGGCTATATAACATATTTGAATGCAGTATTGTAGAGATAACGAATTTGGTTTAATTAGCCTTTAAAATTAAAGGGAGTGATTTGCTAGACATGGTAGTTGAGCTGTAAGTGCAGTATTGTAGAGAAAAACTTTAGTATTCATTTGATACCCTGAAGATATTTTTACGCTGTACTTTTCTTCAATAAGAGAGTAAACCCGTAAAGTCGTTTGTGATATTTCACCAGTTGTTTTAGTCAAGAGAAGAAACGTGTTTTTACAAATCTTAATTAACATGGATAAAACATTTAACAATACTATTCTACAAACTAGTTGCATGTATACAGGTTGAGAAAATAATGAACTTCTGTCATTGGAAATAATTTATTAAAATTAATTTCAAATCTCGCAGGTTTATGTAAATTCTTTCAGTTAGGGTCGCATATGGGTGGTTTTCTTTATTTTAATTGTGAAGACGACATTTTGAAGAAATCTGCAAAAAAAATAGAAACAGCAATTGTAATAGTGATAATGAAATTATCGATTCTACGATTCTGCTATGGCTTTCATCGATAATTTCTTTTAAGAAATATGATTAGTTTACAAATTTATTTTTTTAGATGTTTTGTCCGGGTTATTAAATAATTTTTAAAAATGTTTCTTCTAAATGGCTGAAACAAATAATGAAATATTACATACGACTTAATTAAAAATTGTACACCGTAAAAAATGTCTCATTATGGTATCAAATGAATCCTAAAGTTTTTTTACAATACTGCACTTTCGGCTCAAATATGTTACACAGCCGGTCTCTCCCTTTAATGTCGTTATATAACTTCAAATAGTTTCAAGTCGTCATTGAATTCACGTCCTCGGGGATAATCCAGTATATTTTCGTGGTCGTACATGAGGTTTTTATTAACTGTAATTAAGTGTTTTTGGTGAAGACTTGGGGCGGGAAAGTTTGAGATTTTGAAGAGATTTTTTCTTGCCGACTTAGGACTTAATACACGTTGGAAAATAACTGCTGAAAATTCATCCGGGACAATAAAGCCTGGACAATAGAAACTCTTTATTGGCCCTGCTCAAAACTTTTCGGGACAATAAAATCGGTTAATATTTAAAGTCAATAATTTGTACTACAGACATAATAGTGTACTGTATTATTATGTCCTCATTGTACTTTAGGCACCTGAAGGTAGCGAGGAGAGGGATTTGTATGATAAAGGAGTTAGATTTGGATGCTGGGGGATGTCAATGTACTCCTTATCCTGTTCATTTTATTCCTTTGCTCTAGGCATCGACAGTATACCACTTGATATTTTTATATTGCAAATATTAAATGAAAATTGCAAAATATTATCTTTTGTTTAAAACTTCAAGAAACTTCATTTTTTTGTTCACAAAACTTTGATTTCTAGCATATCAAACAACTTAATTTTTCGATATGAACCAGTCAAATATAAAATATTACACCTTCAGCTTTTCACAATGTATAAATAAAAACATACAGGGTTACCCAAAAATTATGGGACTTAAGGACGACCTTTTCGTAAAATATGACTCAATCATCTGACAAAGATAGAAAAAAAACTGTAAAAATATATGCAGAAGTCCTAAAATGTAAAAAATAAAGATTCATAAATTTCGCAAATTGTCTCTTAAGTCTGATCCTTTGTTGCATCCCTGTATAAAAGGCAGGGGCGTATTCAGGAATTTGTCCAGGGGGGGGGCTTAAATTTTTTATCTTTCCAGGGGGGGGGGGGCTCAGCACCCCTTGGGGCCTGAAAACCCCCTGAAATCAATAGATGTCACTGGTCCAGGGGGGGGCTTAGCCCCCATAGCCCCCCCCTGAATACGCCCCTGATAAAAGGTATACTGCCTACAGACAAGTTGGTGAAGAAATTCCGAGCCAAACCGGTTTATATCGGTGGTCAGCTGGTCTATACAGTGGGCATGATCCTTATGGCGCTAACTAGATCCAAGTATGGAGCATTATTTAATCATACTTTTTTCATTAGATTTTATTTTTTTCTTTGAACTTCGTCAAAGCTGAGAATTTTTTAAGATCATTGAATTTTAATTTTTCTGAAAAGTGAATGTTGAAAAATAATCTATTTATTTTAGCCTATGATACCCCCGGGTACTCAAGCCAATCTGGTTCAGCCGTTTGGCCTGCTTTATTATATTGAAAATAATTCATTTAAGCATAAAGATTTAAGAGAGGTTTTGCTATACATCATTATTCATTCCCATCTTAAATAGATTGTTGAATGTCGAACCATTTCTAATAAGAGGAAAAACTCTTAAATTTCTAAGTTATTTTAGCTTTCAAAAGTTGCAAACATCTTCTGTGTTTTCCTCACAATAGTTAAAAAAGTTTAAGTAGACAATTTTTGATTTATTTAAAAAATCTAATCTAGACAAATTTGTTTTCAACTTCATGGGGTAGGGTGTAGGATAGTCAAACGGCGGGTCGGTGTTTAGAAAAAATCATTTTTTATTAATAAGGCTACAGGGCTAAAATTTATGTAATAACATGTGTTGCATGTTAATATTTATAAAAAGTAAAAATATTTATTTTTAACATTTTTCCGACGTACTTCTTGAACTTTATTTTAATCCTCCTTGGGACCCTACATGGTTCATAGTCCCCTATCTCAACTCTAAGGGCAAACTCATGGGTGGAGGGGTGCAAACATCCACCCTCCCCCCTCCTATCCATATTAGACAAAAATAGCCCAACCGTGATAGGGTTAAATTACCGTCAATTTTTAAGTAAAAAATGGAAGAACACATTTTCGATATTTTCAATATACCAAAACTAACAGTTTTCGGTGTTATTTGTTTGAACCATGTTCGCTCAACATGCTGTGTAAATCAAAGAGCTAATGAGGTCCCATGTTTTTATAACACCCTGAATCTGTACTAAAAAATATATCATTGTACTGTACATGTACTGTGTAGGTGGGGTGTACTGCTGTTCTCATGGTCTGCTGGTGTTATGTATTCAACACTATTTACAATGCCCTACCTTCTGGTAGCACACTATCACGAAACAGATGCTGTAAGTTTCAAAAGTCACCATAAGACTTTTATTTTAAAGAACCCGATTTAAGAACCCGATTTAAGAACCCGATTTACACAAAAAATGTGAATGCGATTTTGTCTCAAATGTTTACTGTTTTATGCTCAGAAGTACTGTTGGGGTTATTTTAACTTCTTTACACAAAAAGTATCTGAAACAGCCTATACAAATTACATAGATTCAGCCTGCTTATAAAAAGTCTCATCAATTATTAAGACAGGGCAGACTTTGAAGTGTCGCAACGCCTTGGGCTTTGATTTTACTGCTCTAACCTACTTATACTTTTCTGTAGCCCTTTACATGTTTATTTTAGCACTATAAAGCACTTGTTGTTAGCTTTGGTTTTTAGGAATAAATTGGCAAATTCTCATAGATTGTTGCTTGAGAGCTTGAGTCCTTTAAATCAGACTGAAATTAATGTGCTGAACAATGCTAAAAAATGAGATGTGTCGCAACTAGCAACTGGAACTATGGCATTTATGTTGCAACAGAAAATGCTTGGATGAAAATGGTGTTTTCTTAAAAAAAGTTCACTAATTGTGACTGAAACGTAATTATATGTCACTCTCTCAAGATATTTACTAAAAGCTTAGAATGCATGAGGCATCAATTATATTTTTTTTGAAAAATGGAATATTTTCAATTAGGGTTTCTTCGAAAATCATTTCTGCTTCACGGAACAATGAAGGGAATTGTACGAATTAAGCACTTCTCAGGGCTATGAAAACGACGATATCTTTCACATTCTTGATTAAATAAAGGTTTAAATGGTTCAGTATCAAGTCGGACATGTCTCTTTTTTATTAAATGGACACTGGACAGCAGTCTTTTACAGAACATTTACTTTTCTTATTTTACAACTTGTTTAATGAAACACTTCTTGACACTTTGTTACTTTCTGTATAAAACTTTTATAGAACTGTTATTATTTTAGATTTAGTTTTTTAAAATGTTGCAAGCAATAAACCTTTTTCTATTTTTAGAATAGATAATATTATATTTAAAACATATATTTTAGAACAAATTTTGCCTTTCCTAGATTTTTGTATTATTTGACATAAATTCTTTTCATTTCTTTCTATTCTACAGTTAGGTCCTAGACCGTCATCTTCTTTTCCGCTCGAGAGAAATTATAAAAATATAAAATGTATTATCTTAAATTTGATTATATATCTCATTTACCGTTTCTTATAAATTAACATTAATCAGGTAAGGCACTTCAAGAATAGGTGAATGTGAAAAAATCGTTCTTACATAAAAGTTTTAATAACGAGAGAAATTCCAGATTAAACCATGAAATATGTCAAACAGTATTCTGCTATCGACACTTTTATTTGAACCATTATGATTTAAAGGGAAAGATTGAAAATGCCACGATTAATTAAATTTCATCCTTTTAAATCTTCTGACAAAAAGTAATTTTTAAGAATATAATTTTTTATCTTTTATGACTATTACTATTAATATCATTATTAGCATCATTATTACTATTACTATTATTATTATTTATTATTAGTATCATTATTTTTTATTATTATTATCATTATTAGATCCAATGTGAGGACAGTTGGTTTTTGAGGCAGATTAGAGAACTCCTGTCTAGCATCAGAGATACACCAGAGGAACAGGTACACGATACTCTTCATCTTCATTTATATGTTTTTACTTCTGTTCATGTTCTTGTTCATGTTCATGAACATGAACACGGGTGATGCAGAGTATTATAAACGTGAACATGAACATAAAAAGTACTATAAACATGTACAAGAACATGATGAGTATCGTAAACATGTACATGAACATGATGAGTATCGTAAACATGTACATGAAAGAGTAGCATAACATGTACATGAAAGAGTAGCATAACATGTTTATTGTATTCTTCATGTTTATGTTCATGTTACCTGTCATCAACATGTCCTCAGCATATCATGCTTAGATTGTTTGCATTCTGTGAATGAATTAATAAAATAAATATTTAGAAAAGTAAGATTGCTGCTGGCCCGGACTCTCTATGGTCTGGACAGGTATTGTCATGCTATTATATACAGCAGATATAATTGCTGGAAAATAAATTGTTGGAAAAATGATGATACATTCATTTATAAAAAGTTTTTTTTTGGTATGCAACAAATACAAATGAAAATAATAATAAAAACAATTTGTTATTTTTTACAAAGAAATGTCATTTACTCTCAGACAAATCTATGGAAATTTAAACCCCCGAGGGATTTAATGATTTAATTAAGCCCCCGAGGGCGCAGCCCAAGGGTTTATCATTGAAGATAAAGATCTAAATGATATCGTTGCTGTTGGGCATGCGCCTCTTTTAATGAAAGATTTTTTGAAATTACGCTATTTCCTTGAATATGGATAGTCAACCAGAAGATATACAAATACAATGTATGCAAAGAAAAGATATCAGGATTAACATAAGAATAGTTATATATGTGTAGAACTAGAGAGGAAGAATGAAGAACGGAGGTTGTCCTCTGAATAGAATAAAAAGTTCTGGTTACGTCATAGATAATTTGTTTAGTTAGATAGTGCTTGGACTCCATACCAAAGATCATCCAGATGGGACAACATATGTCTCCGTTCAGTTTTAGAAATTAGTTTTAAGGCATTTTATCATGATAATTACAATTAATTTATACTGTATAAAGTCTACACGGAACGGACGGAGCTAATTTTTTGACAATAAGAAAAATATGTATCCGGAGTCCGAATAATTAATGAATTTGAGCCGCGTATTAAATCCGCCAAAAACCTGTATTTGAACCGCGTCTCAAATTTAAGCTAGGGCTCAAATTCTTTAAAGTCGGCCTCGGAATAGTTTCTGTTTCTAAAACGTATAATCTAAATTAGGGGATCTCAGAGGTCACAAAGTCGTGTCAGTAATGTTGCACAGATTTCACCTTCTCCTTCAGTATACTTGGCAGTGTTCTTGGAATTTTAAAAGATTATTGTTAAGGGTGATATATCTATGAAATGAAACTTTGCATTGTGAAGGGCGAGGTTTAGGGATGGATATTGTTTTTTTATCCTGTTTGGCATTATTTTATAGGTGCGAGGTATAGGGACGGATATTGTTATTGTATCCTGTATTGTATTGCATAGGTGCGAGGTATAAGGACGGATATTGCTATTTTATCCTGTTTTGTATTGAATTGCATAGGTGTGAGGTAAAAGGACGAATATTGTTATTGTATCCTGTATAGGTGCGAGGTATAGGGACGGATATTGCTATAGTATCTGTATTGTATTGTATTGTATAGGTCCGAGGTAAAAGGATGGATATTGTTATTGTATGTGCGAGGTATAAGGACGGATATTGATATTGTATCCTGTATAGGGACGATTATTGCTATTGTATCTGTATTGTATTGTATAGGTGCGAGGTAAAAGGGCGGATATTGTTATTGTATCCTGTATAGGTGCAAGGTATAAGGACGGATATTGTTATTGAATCTTGTATAGGTGCGAGGTATAGGGACGGATATTGCTATTGTATCTTGTATGGTATTCCTCGCCCAGTTCGTTCTCTCTCTTCTAATGGGGACCATTGTTGCAAAAACAGGTATGACAATGAGATAAAAACAGGTATGACTATGAGATAAAACCAGGTAGAAGACAATAACGAAATAAATGAAACAGTATGACGTGAAAAAGGGATTGTGAGATGTGACAACAAACCGAAATTTCATCTTAATGATACATAATTACACAAAGATGTTAGGCCTATAAAGATCTGTGCATCTTCCGACAGATGGAAAGACAGACAACAGCACATCATTTAAATCTGTATTTGTTAGGATCTACTGTTGCTGTTGTTGTGTCAGCATCTGTGCTTAGCTTCTGTGGCGCGATATCCGCTAACTTTATCACCTACATGGACCTGTAAAGCATGTGTAATGTGTATCCGATACGGTAAACCGGAACCACATGTATCCTGTGTTTTAAATCGGAACCACATGTATCCTGTCTATTAAACCGGAACTACATGTATCCTGTCTATTAAACCGGAACCACATGTATCCGGTTTCAAGCATGACTATTTAATGAGCTCTCCGTTGCCAATGCTTATTCTCGAAGGATGGTGTAATATCGTTAATATCCTTTCTCTTAAGGAACATATCTTAAAAAAAACATAAAGGGTTTTAGACAAAAAAGTTGTTAAAGTTAATATTTATTCTCGTATTTATAAACGAATTTTTCCGCCGTTTGCATTTTAAGGCGTTGATGTATTTGTAGTTTTAAGAGTTGTATCTCGGACCCTCAGATCTCTGTATTCTGTATCCTCCACTGAGTAGTGTTGTCATGTATCAAGAATCAAGAAGGACGGGCGCAGGATACGGAGTGAAGAGGACTTGAGAGCCCAGCTGTATTTAAAATATTATTAATGTTCTAAATATTTAATATGAATGTATGTATATGTTTTGAAAGGATTGATCACTTTAAACAATTGTATCATTTTATGTAAATAAAGCTTTAAAACGCAATCATTATAGCTATGTATAAATTTGGATTGTTAGTCTATCTGTTTACATCACATTGTCGTCAAAACGGTTCAACCGATCGGCCCCAATTTTTTTTGTAGTAACACACACAATTTAAACTAAAAATTCAAAACAATCGGGGGTTCCAAGAAATATTACTTTAATACAACATGCTAGAAAAATCCCTGACAATTAATTTGTTCGAAATACCGAAAATATCAAGACTTTGATTATTTGGTTTAAAATTACGAACATTTTGTTCAAAATTATGAACATTTTGTTCAAAATTATGAACATTTTGTTCAAAATTATGAACATTTTGTTCAAAATTATGAACATTTTTTTCAAAATTATGAACATTTTGTTTAAAACTAAACATTTTGTTCAAAATTATGAATGTTATGAACATTTGATTAACATTTTGAAGAGAATGTTGACCTTCAGATAAATTTAAGATCCAGAGAAAAGTCTAAGAAATCCGACAGATGTGCAGAAGCAATGGAACAGTGATTAGGAGGGGGGGGGGGGGGTCTACGCAAATGCAAATGCCTGCGTGCATGCACGACCCTAAAAATACAACCCGGTCTCAAAAGTTAATGTAAAATTTGCATGACATGTGTAATGTGTATTGTGTATCGCCATAATTTCGCTTATTTTTTGACGCATTCGCTTTAGTTGATATTTCTCAACATTTTTTTATTTTTTATGATCTGAGAGTTACTTTTGAAAACATTTATGCCTGTCTCGGGGACTTTTGATAATGAACACGTCATTTTCTATTTTCCAGGAATGTTCAAAAATCCAGCGCCAGCCGTGAAAACAAGTTGTATAAGCGAAATAATAATTTTAAAGAAAAATCAAAAATATTATGAAATATCAAATTTATACGAATGCGTAGAAAAAAATGCGTCAAAAGATTTGTTTGGCATTAATTTTTTCACGATCTGAGTTGAGTATTGTAACTTTCTGTATTTGTACAACTGGACTGTATGCCCAAACCTGAGAAAACTAGCTTAATCCGGGTTACAATTAGAAATTCAAAACATTTTTATTCTTAGCTCTTTAATAAGAGGAGTTTTGATTGAAAACATAAAATCTGTTCTATTCACAATTTTACCCTTTAAACCGTTATTTGTTTTTATCTTACTCACAACACAAAATTAGACACAAATTGAAAATGTCCGAATTTCCCAGTTTTCTGATAGATAAACGAAGATATCCATCTCAATTCTCTACTCCGGTTTAACAAGCTTCATTGCACGCTGGATTATGCCACTCTTGAAATGGAAAGGCACTTGACATTACACTTCTTTGAATAAATTTGAATCCTATTTTACTTCTTACCCAGCATATTGTTTTTCTTTATCAGATTAACCTGAGCACAGCAGCTGATCCCTTTCATTCTTATATCTGTATATATTTATATATATATATATATAGATTAGATTAGATTATTTATATAATTAGATTGAGAACATGAGAACCTTTCCTTTATTTCATACACTTAACACTATACAAAAATCCTAGTATATCATGTTGTAAAAAGTTGAGGTAATATAGATCATGTTGTAAAAACTTTAGGTATAGATTATGTTGTAAAAATTTTAGGTATAGATCATGTTGTAAATATGCTAGCTATAGATCATGTTGTAAAATGTTTAGGTATAGATTATGTTGTAAAAATTTTAGGTATAGATTCTGATTATTTTGTAAAAACTTTAGGTATAGATTATGTTATAAAAAGTATAGGTATAGATTATGTTGTAAAAAGTTTAGTTATAGATCATGTTGTAAAAAGTTTAGGTATAGATTATGTTGTAAAAATTAAAGACCATGGGCTAAACAAATAAATACTGATAATGCAACCCAGAACAGTTTCAAGAATATATTAAGAGATTAGTTTTAAATATTAAGACACTGTTAAGATCATATATTGGTTTCCCATGAAATATTTTTAAACAATGTGAATTTTGTTGACATATTGGTTAAACAGGGTTAAGTCATATAAAGGTTGGAATCTTATTTAAAATTCGGTGATGGCGATGGACTAAACCTCTGTAGAGAATCAAAAGTAGATGTTAGTTCCACAATTATTGAATATATATTTCGGTCTAGGTTGACTCTCGTCGACAGTTCTTGAGATTGTTTCTGTCATGAAGATTAAAAACAAACTGGAATCGTATTCAAAAATAAGATTATCTTATTAGCAAAATGTAAATTAAATAATAAGGCAAAAATTCTTTTACTACTATTTTCCATATTATCTATGCTGTTACATTATGTTTAAAAAGTTATTTACTGTGTTCTAAGAAGGAGGGAACCCCCTTACGCCATGAGCCTCCACAATGCAGACACAAGCCTCCTAGATTTTCTATGAAGACCGAGCCTTCGTCATGCAATAAAGAGCCTCCGCTATGCAGTAAACGAGCCTCTGCTATGCAGCACAGCTTCCTTATAACTCTTGGTTTTTACTAAATAGATTATCAAGTACAATAGGTGGCAACCGAGAAATGGACCAATTATACACAACGTCACAAGTTTCAAATATAGCAAGGGAAACGAAATTTTCTCATTTTTGTTGACATGTTTTCTAAGATTAAATAAAAGTGTAAAAACAGAAAATAAACAACCCGTAAAATTGCACTTATTTTACTGTAAGATAAGCATTTTATTCTAAAATTATCATTATTACTAGTAATTTTGTCGGACACAAAAACTGAATTGACACTTATGACGTCAGAATACAGCTGTCCTGAGAGTGTACAAATTCTACGTTGCCATCTATTGTACTAAAATCTATTAGGTTTTTGCATGTACTATAAACATTTTTTTCCTTTTTTCAACATAGTGGCACAAGAATTGTACTTAAGATTAATGTTATTTATTGATTGTCATGATTTGTATCTTAAATATATTGACTCATAAAGTGGTTTATAAGATTTATGTTTTACAATAAAACAATTGTTACGCAGTAAGGAGGCTATTTCTAAATTCATTTCTGAATTAAACTTAGTTATTTTGTTTTAATCTTTAAATTTAACCATTACCTTTTTGGGATTTTTTTTAAAATTAAGATTAATGTCAAATATTTGATTATCTTAATTTGATAAAAGTTTCAAAAAAATTAACGCTTAAAACAAAGATAATAAATTATCAGGATTTTTTCTCTAAAGTTTTCCTTTTCTCGTAAAATATATTTCAAGTTTTTTAAACTGCTTTACTTGTCAAAATTAGTTACATATTTATAATACTAGAAATTCTAGGCGCTTCGCGCCCTTCTTTCTAGCCTTAGAGGGCGCTTCGCGCCCATCTTCTAAATTAGTTATGAACATGTTCTCTTTGTGTACATCGTAAAACAAAACAAAAATAATTCGCGGATTTTTACAAAAAATTTCGCGGATTTTCAAAATTTTTAAAAATTTAATGACGATCGAATTTTGATAGAGACAAATATTTGAAATTTTGATTTTTCATAACCTTTCCTTGGGGTCCGTAGATGTCCCACAAAAAATTTGGGCCCGATCGGTTCAGCCGTTTTGACGTTTATTGGATACAAACAGACAAGCCAAATTTATAGATAGATTAATTAATACTTCTGATCTTTGATAAACTTTTTATGTCACATTTTGAAAAAAATACAAAAAAATCTTTACTAAATGTAAAACTAAGAGTTTTAAGAAACTATTCTGTACAGCAAAGGCGACTGTTTTACTGTGTAGCGGAGGCGTTTACTGTAAAGCGGAGGCTCTTACTGCCTAGCAAATCTGAGAGGCTAGTGTCTGCATAGCGGAGGCTCATGCCGTCTGTGGTTACTTTCCTCGTTCTGGGGGTTAAAATAGAATCACAAACTTTAATCAAAGATATTAAGTTGTCTGAGTTAAATATACAATCAAGAAAATTTGCAAAAAATAAAAACAAATACACTTTTATGCAAAACTGCAATCATCATTCACAGGAGAAATTTCAATTATATCTTTGTTTTTGTATAGTGTTTAATTTGTTATTATGTTTTCTGCAGAAAAATATATGATTTGATTTAATAATATTTAGAAAAACAAATTGGACGCTTAATCCAATCACAACAAGTACACAGTACACAGTACACAGTACAAAGTACACGGTACACGGTACATGGTACACGATATACAGTATACAGTACATAGTACACAGTATACAGTACACAGTACACAGTATACAGTATACAGTACACAGTATACCGTACACAGTATACAGTACACAGTATATAGTACACAGTACACAGTACACAGTACACAGTACACACACAGTTCATAATATCAACTGTACTGTAACACTAATATATTGGCACCAAGGTTATAATGCAAGGAAAGTTAATTGCAGTTGCGTATACTCTGCGTACTTATTGAAACCAGATCTTTCTGGGCGGAATTTGTAAACAAGAATAGATGCATCAGTGTTCTTTAAGTATCCGCGGAGGTTAAAAGCATTAAATTTTGATAATTTTGATAATTCACATAACAGTTTCCTATGACCCTTGCTTACATGGTTTGAAAAATATTCAACATTTTCGACCAATTTTGGTGTCAATAAGGTCTTAAGATAGATGTCTTATAGGTATAGTTCTCAGGTTTCATCCTATCCCCCTTCCATTTTTCCTTTACAGTCCCTTTAAGATTGTTTTTTTACGTGGATGGAAAAGACACATATATTATTTACTGGAGACAGAATAGATGAGGCTTGGAGACGTAGCGAGAGGCGCTGAGACGGTTATGTGGGGAATGGAGGTCATTCTGTGTATCAGAAGACTTGTGGTCAGCTGGTCTATACAGTGGGC